AGGGCGCTTGCCGCGCAGGCGGCCCGGGCCGCTGCGGCCCTAGCCCCACCCTGACGGCCAGAGCTGCTCCGGCGCCCCGTACCTCGCGCGCTGGTTCCCCGGCTCCTCCGGCCGTCCCCGCTGTGCTCTCCGCTTCAGTCTGGCGGCCCCGGGGTCCCCCACAAGATCTAGCGGCAACTGGGAGTTGGCCCCGCGGTGCCTCCCAACCTGAGGAACAAACTGCTGGCCAGATCCCATCCAGCCGTAGTGCCCACACCGGAACTACCCCTGCCATCCTCCCGTCAGCGATTCCACACCTCAAAATCTCCCACAGACTAGAGGAAACTGGAGGTAAGGATCTGGGGATTTTATATGGCCATGGCCCCCGATGGAGGGAAGGCATGTATTTCCACTGGAGGTGACATGAATTGGGTAGAAAGGAAATAGCAAAGGTACTCGAACTGCAGAGAGAAATCTAAGCAGGACCCTCCTGCTGCAGAAAAAACTCTACAGAGGCCAAGACACCTGGCAGCTGAAGAAGGCCCCCAAGGCCAACAGAAGGGGCCTTTTTCTACAACCTGATTTCTCCACTGCCAGCTGAAGGGGGATGACGACACTTCAAAAGGGTCAATGTTTTCTCCCGAAAAAAGTATGGGAGTGCCTCGGCTCTCTCCTCTCTTTGGAGAGGCCAGAGAGCAACCACTCAGGGAGGAACTGGATGGAGGTCATCCCAGGCCAGAAAGGGAAAAAGAAGGATGAAGAAAAACAGAAATTGAAAAACTGGTACAATTTATGAAAGGTGATTCAGGGGTCCGGTTCAGAACTCAGCCACTCAATATGTGTGTTCTGAGAAGGGAACACATTTAAGAAGAAGTGTAGCCTGTTGGCCCCCTGTCAAGACATGGATGTAAAGCCCTCTCTTGCTCTCCAACAATCTATGTCCCTCACTGCCTTCCCTATCTTGATTCTCTCTGGAAAGATACCTAAAACACTGGTAAGAGTGCTTTTCTCTGGAGAGGAGCAGAGAATGAGAAATGAGAGAGAAGTTTACCTATCACTATATTCCCTTTGTGGAGCCCTGGTAGTGCAGTGGTTAAGAGCTCAGGCTGCTAACCAAAAAGTGGGCAGTTCAAATCCACCAGCCGCTCATTGGAAACCCTATGGAGCAGTCCTACTCTTTCCTATAGGGTCACTGTGAGTCGGAATCCACTCAACGGCAACAGCATATACCCTTTAAGGAGACCTGGTGGCGCAATGGTTAAGCACTCGGCTGCTAACTGGAAAGTTGGCTGTTTGAACTCATCCAGCAGTTCCTCAAGAAAAAGACCTGGCGATCTGCTCCCATAAAGATTGTCATTGTATGCTGTTCAGTCGATTCTGACTCATAGTGACCCTATATGACAGAATAGAACTGCCCTATAGGGTTTCCTAGGCTGTAGTCTCTACAGAAACAGATTACCAGGTTTTTTCTCCCCCTAGAAAACTCTATGGAGCAGTTCTACTGTGTCACATGTGGTCATTATGAGTGGAAAACGACTTGACGGCACCTAACGACGTATACCTTTTAGAATTTTTTGAATTTTTACTATATTAAAAATAAAAATATTGCTTATTAGGAACCTCATGGGGTAGTGAGTTCATGTTAATGAGGGAGGAACAACTCAGAAAAGGAGGGTGAGAATCGTACAACTCGAAGAATGTAATCAATGTCACTGAATTGTACATGTAGAAACTTGAATTGATGTATGTTTTTGCTGTGTATATTCACAAAAACAAGAACAATAAAAAATAAAATATTTAACAAATAAATAAAATGAAAAACATATATATATATTGTTTAAAACTTACCTCTCCCCGGAAGACCTGCCTGGTTAACAGGCCTTTTCCATTTTGTTAGATCTTAACGCTTATTTAGTTTACACTGCTACAGTCTGGTTTAAATTGCACACCTTTGTTTCTCATTTTACATCTTTATGATACACAGGTATCCAACATTTCAGAATGAATTGTAAACTCCTTATTAGTAGGAGTCAGATTTCTTTTCTTTGTCTTTCTCCTTAACACAAGACTGTAAACTATTTTGTTTTGTTTTAATGAAAAAAGGATTTTGAGCCCCCATGAAGGCAAGGGTATACATTAAATTGTCCTTTGTAGCTCTAGCAGAACAGCACATGGAAACAGGCACTTAATATTTCATGATGATGATGCCGATGTTGACGAAGTTGAAACCGAAGGTAGCTGGAGATCAGATAGATATGGGTGTTGGGACATATTGACTTGGCTATTGGGTATGATGTATCTTCTAGGAAGGGCTGATCTAGAATATGGCCCAGAGGATGGGGAGGAGGGGAATACATGGTCTCTATTCCCCAAAATAGCTCTTGGTAACCTGAGGAATTGGAGTCAGGGGTTGAGCTGGGGTCACGTGCTTGAGTCTGGCACAGGGGTGGAGGTGAACAGGGAAGTTGCCAGCCAGGTTTTCTGAGCAGCTGGAAAGAGGAGGAAGGGCTACAAGAGTTATTTTTAATATCATTCAGAACACAGAAAGAAGATTTTCCAGCAGGGAAAAAAAGAGATATGTTGTAGGTAACACTGATACTTCCAGGGCTCAGGGAGATGCACAAGGTGTGGGGGTCGAGGAAGGTGGGAAGTGATGGCAAAGCCCTCTCTTACTGCAGACAGTCTTCCTGGATTCAACTACTGAATTCATCTCACATTTGGGTAATTCTAAGGAGATGCTTGCCTGTCTTAAGCCTCAGTTTTCATTCTTTTAACAAATGTTGACTGAGGACTAACCATTGCGTACAGCACTGTCCTAAATGGTTTGGAGATGGAAACTTAAAAGTTAGTGATGTCTACGGTGGTGCAACGGTTAAGCACTAGGCTGGCAGTTTGAACCAACCCCCCCCCCACCACCCCACCCAGCAATTCTATGGGAGAAAGACCTGGCAATCTGCTCTCATAAAGATTACAGCCTAGAAAACCCTATGGGGCAGTTCTACTCTGTCACATGGGGTCGCTATGAGTCAAAATCGACTTGATGGCACTTAACAACGACAACATCTTTGTGGAGCTTGTGCTTTAGTAGGAGTACACACATTCACATGGAACAGCTAGAAAATATAGGATCCCTGCTAGTTACATAGCATTATGTGTTCAGAGTAATGTTGAGGGGTGGGTTTAGTCAAAGGGGTCTTCCTGGAAGAGGTGCATTTTGAATCAGTACTTGGAGGATGTTACGGATGTAGAATAGCAGGGAAATGACAGGAAATTGGTTGTTTCAAGCACAGGGAATGACTAGGAAAGGTTTAAATGGCAGTAATTAGCTAATCTAATTAATAGAGGGACAGCAAGCAAATTGGCTTGGCAGGCCTATTGTACCTTGGGGATTCTGCAGCAGTTAACTCGGTTAAGGCAGAGTGTTAATAATGAGGTCACAGTTCAGTCATGTATCCCGGTTAATTTCTGTCTTTTAGCCGGCCAGGTCCTTACTCCTCACGCTAAGCAGCTGTCTCACATGTGTAAGCCCTTAGTCAGAAATGGGTGGGGCTGGACAAAAGAATGGGGGTTGGAGAAAGTAAATGTGTCCCTCAAGGTCACATGCCCATCAGAGGGTGGCTCCAGATTATCGTCTTTGAACTGGAAAGAGATACTGTATCCTGGTGGTGGTCGGGAACTGATCTAACAGGTCCTTCCTGGGGTGCTGAGGGAAAAAGAAATATTAAGAGAGCAAGAGAAGTGTGATCATTCCCTAACCTGGGGCTTCATGCCTCCCTAGTAGGTGGAAGAAAAGAGAACAAAAAGGAAAGGTGACTAAACATATCCATTTGGTCAAGTAGTACTAAATGGGAGCCCTGGTGGTGCACTGGTTAAACGCTACAGCTGTAGCTGCTAACCAGAAAGTTGGCAGTTCAAATCTACCAGCCACTCTTTGGAAACTCTATGGAGCAGTTATACTCTGTCCTATAGGGTCATTATGAGTTGGCAACGGGTTTGGTTTCTTTTTTTTTAGTTCTAAATGTCATGGAGGTAGAATAGTTTTAAAAAATGGGTTTGGTGATCACCTAGACCTGGGTTCTGTCTTCACCTCTTATCTGGGTGAAGTTTTTGCATTTATAAAATAAGGATAAAAATGCCTTCCTTAACAAAATGTTAAATGTAAGCCAGAGTTTAAAGGAGGGCTCCTGCTCTTTGAAATCTGGATCAGACGGGCTCAAACTTTAAATCAATTTAAATCAGTGGAAGTCCCAGAGTTAATGCTAATTAACTCAAGGAGTGGGGGGAATGGAGGACTTGTATTGGCTTCCAGGCCCCTGTTTCTGAGCAGGAGTCTCCCTTAGACACCAATTAGACCCACAAAGGCAGCCTGTGTTTATTTTACACCCCCCCACCCCCACCCCAATACACATACACCACTCAGGCAAAGCTTTCCTGAAAATAGAGCTTGACTAAAGATTTAGAAAGAAAGCAGAGGAGGGGGTAGCATTGTAGTAGTATAAATATCTTTAAACATAATAGCAGGCACTACCATTTAAAAAATATCCTTCCTCCGTTTCACCATGGGAGAATTTCAACAGCTTTTGCACCCACCCAGATCCAGTCTAAGGAGCCCTGATGGTGCAAACGATTCGGCTGTTAAACCAAAGGTTGGTGGTTTGACCCCACCCAGTGTCTGTGGGAAGCCCTGGTGATGCAGTGTTTAAAAAGCTCAGCTGCTAACCTAAAGGTTGGCAGTTCAAGCTTCTCCTTGGAAACCCTATAGGGCAGTTCTACTCTGTCCTATGGGGTCACTATTAGTCGGAATCGACTGGATGGCAACCGTTTTTTTTTTAATTTTTTTTTTTAGAGGCTCTGGGGAGAAAGTCCTGGCGAAAAGGACTCCATGGCACCGGACAAAAGATCCAGTCTCTAATTGCTGGTTCCTCTCTTCTCTCTCCTTTTTTTTTTTTTTTTCCCTGCTTTTGTCCCCCCTACTTTTATCAAGAGCTATTTTTTTTCTCCTTGTATCATGGAAAGCAGTATAGTGGTATTTCATTGCCTGGATTTCTGCCCATGGGGTCTCACCCTTCTTCCGGTGCACACCTTTCCAGACGAAGATGGTTCTCTCCCCTAAAAGTAATTCTTGTTCCTCCCACTCCTACTTCTTTCCATAAATATTAAAAGAGAAAACTATACAAAGTCTTAGCCCAGAGCCTGGAATGTTAACTTCCTTTCCCAAAGGTGTAAAACACCACACTAGGCACTACGGGATCTACAAAGATGAATAGAGCTTCTAACTACAAACAACTCAGAATATGATACAGGCTCTACGAGAGACGTTAAGAGGACCAACTGTTAACAGCCCACGAAGTCGCTTCTGTGCCTAGGCATCATCAGATCCCGTGACCACAGACTTCAGTAAGTAGTTTGCCTGGCCAAGTCGCACCACCGGCCATCTCTGTAGCTTCTCAAACACACACCCCAGCACATTTTCTTGCCAGAGGTGTGAAACTACAACTCCCGACAGGCCGTGTTGTCTGTCCCCTGACTTCCTCCCTCTCCCCGTCCCGAGCCATGGCAACGGCGTGACGTCGGGATACCGGGAGCCGCGGGAGCAGCAGTCGCGGCTTCAGTTCTAGCCAACCCGGCCGCCCGGGCGGGTGCAGGGGGAGAGGAGCCGCAGCCCCGCACCGTCCCTGCGCTCGGGGACCCTGGGCCCGCCCGGCGGCCGTGTCCTGCTGCTCCTCCTCGGGGGCGGGGCGGGGGGGTGAGGGCGCAGCTGGGGGTCAGAGCGGACAAGGCAAAGCAGAGGCACACTCATGGCCGCGGCGGGCGCACGGCGGCTCCCGGCCGGGACGCGCGCGGCGGCCCAGCGTTGCTGCGGCCTCCCGCTCTGCCGGACCCCGCCCCGCGGCCCTCTGCGACCGCCGCGACCAATAAGGTGAGAAGGAGTCGCGGGCCTTCGCGCCGGAGGGAAGGGGGTGGCCCGGAACCACCAAGTTCCACGCTGGAGAGTTGCAGCCCTCGGATGCAGGCGCGGCGGAGGGAGGCAGCGGTTATGCCCGGGAGTCTAATGTAGAGCCTTGGAGAACGATTTTGCAAGGTGTAGGCGAGGGGAAGTCCCTGGGGTGGGCGCCCAGGCAGTGATAAACTCGGCGGGGCCGCGGGACAGTGATGCTTCCTAAGAGTCCTAGCGTTCAGGAGTGGCATAGCTCCCAGCCAAAGACTATAGGCCCTTCACACGCGTCCTGCGCTCTAACCCATCCCCTCCCCCGGCCCTGTCCTTAGCTGCCCTCGACCTTTCGCACTCGTGACTGCCTGGCCAGAGAGCCTGGCCGGCTGCAGCAGGTGCTGCGGGTGAAGCTTGTCTGGACGACCTTTCTCAGGGATGCTCCCCTTCACCTGGGAATGGTTGAAGAGTACAAGAATCGCGATGTTGCCTCTCTTTTTGGCCTTAGGTTTCTGACCTCTTGCAGCCTCCTCTTGCCCAGGGCTGCCCAGATCTTGGCGTCTGAGACTGGCTTACCTCCCAGCCGTTCTTTCATGGGCTTCACAGCCTCCTTCACGAACAAGCGAAAGGCTTACTCGGAGCGTAGGATCATGGGGTGAGCATCTTCCTCTGCCCTGCATTGCTCCCCCACAAACAACCATGCCCAGGCTAAAATATAAGGGTAGTATTAGTAGGCAAGATTCATCCCCGGCCACCCGCCCTCCAGCTATATTATATCCTCCCAGCCTTCCAACCTTAATTTCTCCCTTAGTTGCTGTACATGTGTATTAAGTGAGATGTCACTAGAGTTGGACTAAACCAAAAACCAAACCTGTTGCCATCAAGCTGATCCGACTCACAGGGATCCTATAGGACAGAGTAGAACTGCCCCATGGGGTTTCCAAGGCTGTAAATATTTTAAATTTTTTTTTTAATTGTACTTTAGGTGAAGGTTTACAGAACAAATAGTTTCTCATTCAACAGTCAGTACACCTATTGTTTTATGACATTGGTTAACAACCCCACAACATGTCAACACTCTCCCTTCTTGACCTTGGAGGACCCTTTTTTTTTCTTTTTTGGTGAAAATATACATAGCCAAAGATACACCATTTCAAAAATTTCTACATGTACAATTCAGTGACATTACGTTCTTCCAGTTGTATTGCTGTTCTTACTTTATTAGATAAAGGTTTACAGAACAAAATAGTTTCTCATTAAACAATTAGTACACATATTGCCTTATGACTACATGTCAACACTGTCCTTACTCAACCTTGGGTTCCCTGTCACCAGCTTTCCTGTCCCCTTCTGCCTTCTGGTCCTTGTCCCTGGACTGCTGTGCAAGGCTGTAAATCTTGATGGAAGCAGACTGCCACATCTTTCTCCCTCAGAGTGGCTGGTGGGTTAGAACTGCTGACCTTTCGGTTAGCCGCTGAAGCTTAACCACTACACCACTAGGGCTCGTTAGTTGAACTACAAGGTGTTATTTCTTTGATGACTCAACTATATGTATTCTGAGCACAGTGTAATAGTTAACACTTACTGAGCACTTGCTATGTGCTAGCAGCTAGGCTGCTAGGTGTTTTACATGGATTTTCTCATTTTATCCTCCCAACAAACCAATCAGGTACTATTACCTCCAGTTTATAGGCGAGAAAATGGCGGCACAGGTAATTTACCTACGGTCACACTGTTATAAAGTTGTACAGCTGGGATCTGAGCCCTTGTGTGATCACAGCCTCTGTTCTCCCTTCTTAAGTTCAAAATAGATAAGGCATACAAAAGCATTCTGTAGACCACAAAACATAAGGTGTCATTAATAATATGGCAATTTACATGTTTGCTTTCAAGAAGTCATTCTTCCAGGCTTCTTTGGGATCTCTAGTTCCTGCAGGTGCATGGTTAGCTGGGCAAAGGTATGGGACAAAGAGGAAGCTGACCCAGTTAGCAGTTCCTTAGCCTCTGATTCCCCTTCCTCTAGGTACTCAATGCAGGAGATGTTCGAGGTGGTGTCCAATGTCCAGGAGTATCGCGAGTTTGTTCCCTGGTGTAAGAAGTCTTTGGTGGTATCCAGCCGTAAGGGGCACCTGAAGGCCCAGTTGGAGGTTGGCTTCCCACCTATCATGGAACGTTATACCTCAGCAGTGTCTGTGGTCAAACCTCACATGGTCAAGGTAAAACCTGAGAGGGATTAACCAAGAAGTTTGTGTTCTCTAGCATTTTGACATTTAACGGCTGTTTTGACCTATGAGTCAGAATTGACGGCAGTGGGTTTTTGTGATTTTATCTCTGTGTGTCAAGTACCTCCCTATTAGAAGCCATGAAAAATGGTTTATGATTCCTTTTTTTTTTGCTTTCTATACTTAGTACGGAGCCCTGGCGGCTCAGTGGTTAAAAGCACGGATGCTGACCAAAAGGTCGGCAGTTTGAATCTACCAGCTGCTCCTTGGAAACCCTGTGGAGCAGTTCTACTCTGTCTTGTAGGGCCACTATGAGTTGGAATCGATTCGACAGCATTGGGTTTGGTTTTTGGTTTTGGTTATAGTTAGTATAAGGTCCCTGGGTGGCACAAATGGTTTGTATTCAACTACTAACCTTAAGTCTGGCAGTTCGAACTCATTCAGCAGCGTTGTGGAAGAAAGGCCTGGCAGTCTGCTTTCATAAAGATTACAGCCAAGAAAACCCTGTGGAGCAGTCTACTCTGTAATACATGGGGTCACCATGAGTCGGAATTGAGAAGGCTTTGGGTTTTTTTGTAATATACTTAATATACGTTTTATTCCAGTGTAATATTATTTAACTACCTGGCTGCTGTCCTATTCTAGGCTGTTTGCACTGATGGCAAGCTCTTCAACCACTTAGAGACCATCTGGCGATTCAGCCCTGGAATTCCTGCCTACCCCCGAACTTGCACTGTGGACTTTTCGGTGAGTCAGGAGGCTTCATAGCAAAGGGCTCGGATTGGGTGTGGGGGCAGAGCTGAAGTACTGTGACAGGGTTATTTTTTAAGAATAACTAGCACATAGCATTTCCCAAGTCAATGACAGCAAACTTCCACAGCTCTGAGCTTTCATCAAACTTGCACTCTGTGCTCAGTCTTAAATTCGGGCTTTGGAGGGTATCTAAGGAACTGGAGGGGGAAGGTGTGGAAAGGCACTGAGCACATTTGGCCAGGGGCTATCCAACACTGTCTTCAAGAGTTTCTGACTATCTCTTACCCATTCCCAGATTTCCTTTGAATTTCGTTCTCTGCTGCACTCTCAGCTGGCCACCATTTTTTTTGATGAGGTTGTCAAAAAGAATGTTGCTGCCTTCGAGCGCCGGGCAGCCACCAAGTTTGGTCCAGAGACAGCCATCCCCCGTGAACTGATGTTCCATGAGGTGCACCAGACTTGAGGCAAAAGATTGTCCCCTGGCATCTCCTCAATCCCCACCCCCCAATTCTCTTATTTATTTGGTTTGATTCCTGCTGCAGCCTGAGAAAGGAGTCCGTTCATAATACTGTTCTCCTCTCTCAGTTCCCCAGAAGTTGGGCTCTAAACTGGTTGGAAATGCTGGGGAGAAAGGAAGGAAAAGGCAGAAGGTATGGAAAGGAGACATGCCTGGGAGAGGCTCAGGCTCACCCTGAGAGCCCCATGTGTCCACAGGCTTCTCATACTGAATCAGAATCAGGACTCTGGTTGTTATCTGGGCCGTCATGGTGCCTTAGTGTCTCACCAGGGGAAGATACCAACTCTTCAAGGAATTGAATTAGCAGAGCTTTTTCCTTCTCCTTTGGCATGGAGGTATTAGGTGCTATATAACTTCTGCCCTGCCCGAGGTTCACACAAAAAAGGCAACCTGCCCCCACAGCTTGAAATCCATCACCTCACTTTAAGACTATTTCCATGCTATCTGGCTAGTGGAGAGCAAGGGGCTTACCATCAGTGCCACAGGGCCAAGAAGGCAAAAAGTACTGAACAGAGTTGTCTTTGTACACTTGGGTTATACCTTATTCTTCCACTTAGCCTGAGTTTTTATAAAATTTTAATAAATTATGACAGTGTGAATTTGGCTTTCTTGTATTGTTTCTTGGGGGAATAATGTAGATGGAGCAGAACGAAGTCATGGCTTCCTTCCACAGCGGAATGAAGGTGCAGCAAGAAGACCTCTTGAACATAGTGTCCCAGCTAACTATAGTAGCACATTCTACAAGCCAGGACCTACGACCCACCCCCTTGCCTATTTATAGACTTTTCAGAAGGTCAGTTACAGCAGGAGCCTCACGACAGAAGCATTTGGTCTCATACTTCCCATCTATCTGATGCCCTAAGGACCACTTCTTGATATTTTGGGGGCCTCCTTAAGGGAGGATGTAAAAAAAGAGTCGACACTCCACAAAGTACTGGAGCCCTCTAGTGGCTCAAGTCCTGAGCTAGCAGCCCTATCCCATTCTGTCCTTGGTAGAGTTTCTTCCTTTCACCTGGTGGGCTGGACCAGTTTCCTTGGATTCATGAGATAAGCAGTTGTGAAGTCTCAGCAACAGACCTTGAGTGTTCTGCCTTATGACAAAATTAGGAAGGATGGGGACTAAAGGTCAAGGTTTCCTAACTTTGAGGAAAAACTGAAATCTTTGGAAATCTTCCTGGGAGCCTGGCCTCTCTGATTAGGATGAATGCCAAACCTGCCTAAAGATAAAGGGATACACAGGATAATTTAAAACCCATTAAGTCCAGGTTCTTACTAGCCAGATTCCTTACCTCATAATAGAGATTCTTCCAGGTCTTATTTAATAGCAGGCTCAAGAATTGTTAACAAAAACATTTATTTTGCATTTTATACAGAACCACCTGAAGTCTGCAACAGGACTTGACAGTTACCCAGACGTTTACAGACAGTGTATCCATCTCAACAGTGTGTTTCTGGAACTTGGGGATCCACACAAACACAGGCAGGAGTTCAGAGGAAGGGGGCACAGCAGGAGTGTATTTCAGTCTTTTCTCAAAGAAAAGGCGGTAGAGCATTCTGAGTCACTGAAAACCTGTGTAAATGGGGCTTCTAAAACAAACACTGTACTTTGAGCTCTTGCGAAGAGTCAAGAAAAGGACCTTGATAAATAAAAGGGTATTTTCTTGGGGCAGGGGATGAGGAGGAAGGCTTACTATCTTTAATTCCCTCAGACCCAAGACCTGATATTCAAAGGAGACCATGTCTAATCTTGAATAATTTCCCTGCTTAAAGAGGTTATGGTACCCCTGGGGTTAGATCATGAAGATATCATGCTGGTCATTCCCAAGTCCCTGTTCTATGCCCCACAGCACATTAAAAGAAAAAAAAAAAGGTCAGAAGGTAGTGGCTTGTGTTCCGTGGAAGTAAAAAGCTGAGTTCACAGTAAGCACTGATAAAGTCAAATGACTGGGAAAGACCACACGTCAGACAGTGTACAACCTGCTGTGAAAGGGGTTTCTAGTACGGAGCGAGAGGGGAAGGTCCAGAGCATCTTTTGCCTGAGGCACCCCAGGTATAGAGAGTCTGAAAGGAGGTGAATAATAAAGTAGTGGGAAACAGAACACCCCCAGACCTTAACTTTAATGGGACCGTTTAAAAAAGGGAAATAAAATGGAACACTGGATGCCAATCACAACAAATGCTGGTGGCCTCTATGCTCACCTGGTAGCATAAAAAAACTGCCAAAGTATATCCAGCTAACCAATAAATCTTGCTGGCGGTGTTTGTGTGCATGGGAGAGGGCGATGGGCTTAGTACAGCTGACAATCCAACATGATTCCTACGGAAACAGAAGAGGGCAGAGTCCTGGTTTGCCGGCATACTGAGGGCTGGGCAGAGTCAAACCAAAAGCTCCAAAGTGATTGCAGAGTCTCTGTAACCAGCTCTGAGCCAGGAAAGAGGGGCCAGATTCCCACTCTAGAGATGGCAGGAAGCCAAACCTGGACCATATCACATGCATTAGTCCTGGTCATCCTGTAGTTGATGGGCAAGTCATACTGGGCAGGGAAAAGGATCTGGTTAGGGAGAAGGGGTCGCTTTTCATCTTTTAAAGTCTTAATTTATATTTTAACTTCAAACTTCTTATCAGTGCCTCAGATAAAATTTAATCTTAAATCTTTAAAGGCCCCCTCAAATAAAAGTATACTTTTTTTTTTTAAAGTTTCCTAACTTTCTGATAATCAGTTTCCCCTCAGGCTCTAGTTTTACCCTGACTTAGAGTCTACAGACTTGATCAGACCATCCGTGCTCATGGACTTGGGCCTCTCTAGAGGGAAGCCTAGGGCTCGGCTCCAGATGAGCTGTGCCAGGACTCCCAGTGCCCGTGACACCCCAAACAGGACTGTGTAGTAATTCATCTCCGTCATGCCATAGAACTGTAAGGTAGAAGAAAAAAAGGCTTTGTTAAAGGCCCAGCGGTAGGCATGTAAAAGTCCAGGGTGATTCCATTTTCCCCTTTTCTCCAGAGATTTAGCCTAGTCAGCCTTAAATAGCAATGACAATGGGCGAAGTATAACAATTGGGATTCTTAAAAGAGAACACCTCCCCACAGGCCACTTTATCAAAAGGGTAAGGAAGGAGGTATAAGAGTCCATGCTCTGACTACGGAGTTGATTGTGTGCATGGCAGAGAATAGTAGGATTTGGTACAAATTGGAAGGGAAGCAGGAAAGGGAGGACTCACCTGGAGCAGCACCCCACTGTGAGCATCTACGTTGGGCCAGGGATTCTTGGCCTTGCCCTGCTCTAAGAGGATATTGGGCACAATCTTATACAGCTGAGCAACTAGCTTAAACATGGGATCATTAGGCAGGTGTTTCAGAGCAAACTCTCGCTGACAGGTATATCGTGGATCAGTCTTCCTTAGTACTGCATGGCCATAGCCTGGGACAACCTGCAAAGGGTGAGGGAAAAAAGCCAGCTGGTATTCAACAATTTCTACATGTACAATTCAGTGACATTGATTACATTCTTCAAGTGGTACAACCATTCTCACCCTCCTTTTCTGAATTGTTCCTCCCCCCCTCCCGCATTAACATAAACTTACTGTCCTCCTTCTTACCTAATTAGGTAGAAATTCTTGTCCTACTATCTTTCCTAAATTCTTCAGAATGGACAGATGGAAAAAAAAAAAAAATCTCCTTCTACAGCATAAGGACCTGTCATTCTTTTCTCCTAATTCTTCCAAACTGCAGAACCTGGGTTCTTTCCTAGTTGCTACGCATCTCTGCTTACCCGTCCTGAGTTGAGTGTGTTCCAGATGTAGTCTCGTAACTTCTCATCTGACACATCTTTGCCAACTTCCTTCTGTAGTTGTGTCAGCCAAACAAGCACCTCCTATGGAAAAGGTTTGGAGAATAAGGGAACGTCAATACATATGCCAGGACAGAATGCCAAGATCAAAAATAAAGCATGGGAATAAGTAAAACTTAAAGCAGGAAAAGGAATAGTCTTACCTGATTTGCCAGGCCATGTAGGGGCCCTGCCAGCCCGTTCATGGCAGCTGCAAAGGACAGGTAGGGGTCGGAAAGGGCACTGCCCACCAAATGGCTGGTATGGGCACTTACATTGCCACCCTCATGGTCACTGTGGGGAAATAAGAAAGGAAGAGTCAAGGCCAAGGGAAGGAAGAGAAAGAAAGGGCAGATTATAGAAACACAGACCTTTCTGTTCTCTTGTCACATACTAGCCTGGTTCTGGGCTGACAGGCACCTATAGCCAACCAGATATACACAAGCTATTTTAAGAGATGGACCAATCCTATTACCAGCTTTTGTTCACTAATCCACAGAGCTGGAGAGGTTATTGGCTGATAATGCCTGTATGCCAAGCTCCCCAACTCCCACCGTAGCTTTAACAGCAGTGGCCAGAAGAGGGAGCTCCTGGAAAGCTGTTGGACCACCTAATGTGAGCAGCTAGTACCTTTTCCCAGCTAGAGGTACCATCTTGTTCTTTGCATGGTTACGGTAATTTCCCTAGACCTCTTGACCTTCCTTACTAAACTCCTTTCTTTCCTTGTTATCACCCCTTATGCCATGTTTCCATCTCCTTGTTGCCTAACACTTGTTCCCAGAAGATGGGAATGTTAAGGAGCTTTCCTTAAAGTTTCCCACCAAACCAGGCACCTGATGGCTATGGTTACTGGGTCTCCCTCACCTGTGGATGGTGAGGTATAAGCGCATGAGCTCAGTGAACTGAGCATCAGTATAGCCTAACATGTTGGTGAAATTGTGCGACCAGTCCAGCTTAGTGTCAATGGCCCCAATACTGCTGCCCTCCCGGTAGAGGTTCCGGTAGATCTTTGCTGCAACACAAGGTAGCTTTGCAATCAGATCCATACAGTCCTCGTAAATCAACTAATGGGAGAAAAGGAAATTGGAGAAAAAAACAATAATTAGCAATGAAGAACTTGGGCAAGGGATGCTTGCCCTCATGAACTGGACCATTTGGGTTGATGGTTATATGCTGAGTGGTATAGACAGAGTATGTTTTCAAAGTAGAGAATAACAATAATAACCATTTAACCAAATAAATATGACACAGGTACAGCACTAATTAATTTGCGCATACTGTCTCATATATATTAAAACACTGACCCAATTCTTACCACCCTACAAAGTATATAATGACCTCTGTTTTACAGATTAGGGAACTAAGGCCCAGCACATTCAGTTAAATGCTAAATTCAGGTTTTGAACGCTGATAACATTTAACCATATTTCCCACTACATCGTGACAGGACAAATAAGTCCTTTGTACTCAATGTGCTAAGATACTAGGTTTTAATAATTTATTCTGTGTTCTATCTTCCTAAGAAAATTCACCATATATACCAAAGGAAAACCGTGGCATTCTTTTTGTTACAACAAAGCACTAACTGTGTATCAGGTTCTGTGCTAGATATATTATTTGCATTATTTTTTTTCTTACAATAATCTTGTATATCCCTATCCTTCATTTTACAGATGAGGAAATTAGGGCTTGGCCAGATTAAGTAATTTATACAAGGTCACCCACTTAGTTAATAAGCATCACCTAGCTTAAAAAATTAACTTATAGTCACTCTTGTTTCATGTATACCTTTACTCACTTTCCCCCTCACTTCCCGATTTATTTTAAGCAAATCCTAGACATCATATATTTCAACATGTCAGTATTTAAGGATGTATGTCTAGAAGGTAAAGATTTTTCATAAATGACATCACGAAACCATTATCCCAACTATGAAAATTTAAAAATTTTTTTATTGTGCTTTAAGTGAGTTTACAGTTCAAGTCAGTTTCTCACACAAAAATTTATACATACATTGTTATGTGACCCTAGTTGCTTTCCCTACAATGTGATAGCACACGACCCCTTTCCCCCCTGCATTTCCCGTGTCCATTCAACCAGCTCCTGTCCCTTTCAGCCTTCTCATCTCGCCTCCAGACAGGAGCTGCCCATTTAGTCTCATGTATCTACCTGAGCTAAGAAGCACACTCCTCACGAGTATTATTTTATGTCTTATAGTTCAGTCTCATCTTTGTCTGAAGAGTTGGCTTCAGGAATGGTTTCCATTTTGGGCTTAGAGTCCAGGGGCCATGTCTTCTGGGGTCCCTCCAGTCTTAGACCATTAAGTCTGGTCTTTTTTACTAGAATTTGAGTTCTGCACTCACTCCACTTCTCTCCTGCTCTGTCAGGGACTCACTGTTATGTTCCCTGTCAGGGCGGTCATTGGTGGTAGCCAGGCACCATCTAGTTCTTCTGGTCTCAGGCTAATGAGGTCTCTGGTTTATGTGGCCCTTTCTGTCTCTTGGACAAATATTTTCCTTGTGTCTTTGCTGTTCTTCATTCTCCTTTCCTCCTGGTGGGTTGGGACAAATTGACGCATCTCAGATGGCCACTCGCTAGCTTTTAAGACCCCAGACACCACTCATCGAAGTGTTTCTTAATAAACTTTGTTATGCCAATTGACCTAGATGTCCCCTGAAACCATGGTCAGTCGCCTCTGCTACTCTGTCCCTTGAAGTGTTTGGTTGTATTCAGGAAACTTCTTAGCTTTTGGTTTAGTTCAGTTGTGCTGACTTCCCCCGTATTGTTGTTGTCCTTCTCTTCACCTAAGGTAATTCTTGTCTACTATCTAGTTAGTGAATACCACTCTCCCGCCCACTCCACCCTCGTAACCATCAAAGAATGTTGTCTTCTGTGTTTAAACCTTTTCTTGCCATCTAAGAAAATTTTAACAAATTCTCAATATCATTAAATATCTAGTCAATATTAAAATTTGCCTGATTAAAGCTGAAGCCCCTCACTGGTTCATTTGTTTGAATCAGGACTGAAACAAATTCCACGTATTGCAATTGTCTTATATGTCTTTGAAGTCTCTTTTAATCAGTTTAAGTTCTCCCCTTTTTTATCTTTGCAATGATTTTGTGGAAATCTGGATAACTTGTTCTGTAGAGTTTCCTACAGTTTAAGTTTTGCTGGTTATATAGCTGTGATGTCATTTAACATGTTCCTCTTGTCCACTGATAGTTAGATCTAGAGGCTTGAGGTTCAATTAAGACTACTTCATTTAGGTATGCAGTGTTGTGTTCATTTTTCAGGAGACATATAATGTCTGGCTGTCTCTCTTTTTGTGATGTTAATAGCTTGCTTCAACTTTTATGTCTCAGTTTTATCTTCTCAAAAGGATTTTAAGTTCCTTTAGGGAAGGGAAAATTATTGTTATTCAATATTCTTCAGAAAATTTGCTTTCATTCAGTTTCAGGTACACAGCATAGAATAAATACATGCCGACTGATATTGCATAGTGCTATTCCATCAAGCTAACTGGCTAAGTGCTCCTGCGAGAAGTCATGACGTTTCAGTAGGTCTGCTGGAACAAAGAGCAACATCTGTAATAACTAGCCTAAAGAGTTAATTTCTATGAAGTCATTTATTACTCAAGTACTCTCTGAATTTTTTCAATGCCACCAGGATTCAATGAGAATAATGCCAAAATTAAAAAGGTACTTGAAGCAAGAAATACTTAGCTTACACTTGCAAGTTCTCAGGAGATTACTTACATAATAATTATACTATTAACTATACTTCCTTACAGGTCTACATTTCCTAAGGAAGTAGGTTACTTTCAGAAGTCTGCACCAAGATAAGCAGTTTTAAGGAACCTGGGATCATTTACAGAATGTCAAGAACAGGATCCTGGGCTAGGCAAACTGGTATCTGTGGAGTATATACTCATTTTCAAAATTATTTGGAAGGTAAATGGCCATATCATAAAGAAACTACAAAAAGATAATTATTTCAACTTCCACCACTGAAGATGAGTTTTTTTTAAAAAAGAAAAGAACCTGACAGAGAATTCCTGCTTATTTCTTTAATAAACTTAGACCAAGCTGCTATTTACATACTTGTACCAACTTATTCTTCATCTATAAAGCGTTGGAAGAAAGATGTTAAAGCGTGACAACATCATAACTATCCTGAATAAAAGTAACAGAACTGTCTATAATCATCATCATGAGCCACCATTTCTATTTAGGAAAAATCTAGCCAAGATTATTCCATTTAGCTATCAATTACTATTAAGAAGACACAGAAAAAGAAGAGAGTCAATATTAATGGTGAAGAGACCCTGGAATCAAGTAAACCCAAGTTTGAATCTGGTCTCTACTACTTACTAGCTGTGTGACCTTGGGCAAGCTACTCCTCTAATCCTCAGTTTTCCTATTCAGTAAAATGGGAATAATAAATAACACCTACCTCACAGGGTTGTTCTGAGGATTAAATCAGATAATGAATATAAAGCCTTTAAGCACGATACTTGCCATGTTTTCAAAAGTTGTTAGCAGCTGTTAGGGATGATGATGATTTTATTATAAACAGCTTCAAAACCTACATATACCATTCATAAGCCCTACCAAACTTCATCTATCAGCTACTTAGCAAATATTACTAAATTCCCCATCTTAAGGCTGCTTCACAATTAAACAGCTAGTTGCAGCACAGCAATCATCCTGTCATGAATGAAGTTACAGTCAAGTAGAAAGAGACCTAAAAGCTGGTTAAACTCTTTCAATTGAAGAGATTATACTAGTCTTCTAATGTTATGGAAACTTATGGAGGAAGTGCTGTGAGCAGATCATCCTCTTGTGGTACATGTGAAAAACAGTATGAGCTGATGATTCTAGGAAAGACTTAGACAACATGTAAATGCCTTACCATAAATTTTTAATCCGAAATAACCAGCTGAATGCTATCATGTAATTCTACTTAGACAGTCCGTGGTTGAATTAACCAAGACAGAGAACTAAAGTGAAATAGCTTAACTGACCTTTGAGAGAGACAGAGAGAGAGAGATGTGGCAGCCAAAGCACATCAAGCTCCACTGTAACTAGAACAGTTACTGGTGCTCTTTGTCAGTGTAAACTTAGTAGACACACAACCCAAGGTTGACAAATGTGTAAGTACTGCTTACAAATACCCTCCAGAAGATCAGCAAACTCCTGAAATACAACCTGTCTACCTGAAGTCAGCCATCCCTGGATCACCTCTCACAAAGAGATGATGCTAGGATAGTCAAGCAATGGCTGCACACTGAAATGGAGGTAATACAACAGCAAGCAGAGAAGTACAAGATTCATTTTAGGGATTCAGTAAAGGATAGTATTAAGCAATGCAGCATTAGATGCCTTGGAAATAGAAAACCAAACCAAGCTCACTGCCGTCAAGTCAATTCTGACTCATAGCGACCCTATAGGGCAGAGTAGAACTGTCCCATAGGTTTTCCAAGGAGTGGCTGGTAGATTCGAACTGCAAACCTTTTGGTTAGAAGCTGAGCTCTTAACCACTACGCGACCAGGACTCCAGATAAATATCTTATAGACATCTATCATAAAATATGAAGAAGCTGTTTCTTTTCCTCTTTGAGACAGTCACGACGACAGCATTACAAGAAGTAAACAGGCACTTCTGAGTGATCACTTTTTAAAAGACAAGCTTCGGGGTAGAAATGGTGATCTTGATTTAACCTTTTCTATTACAGTGACTGTGGTGCAATGCGTTTCTTGTATATATGGCTTTCTGGCCTTGGGTTTATAATTCTGCCAAAAATAATTGGCTGGGCCACAGTCTGGCCTGTGATTGTTCTATTTTATGCATCTTGCAGGGATTGGTCAGTTTACTATGCAAATAGGGTGTGTGAAACCACCCAATGGGATTAAGTAACCATGTGTGAATTTGATTACTAAGCAAATTAAGTGACTGTGGTCTACAAAGGGGATTGGTCAGTTCCTGGTATGGTGGGAGGGCCATGACTTGAAATTGACAAGCAGTAGGCTTACACACGGCTAACTGCACAGAGATTTAGGGGGACTTCACTACCATCAAGAAGAGCCTGGAGTAGAGTGCGTCCTTTGGACTTGGGGTCCTGAGAAACTCCTAGACACAGGATACAGTGAGCTGTAACACTGAAGATGGCACGAGATGGTGCAACAGCACGAGCAGCAGGAACCAGGAGACCAGCGCAAGGCGGCTGCAATGGCTTGCCGACCTATGGAGCATGAGAGCTGAGCGCCTTCAGGAAGGAGGCTTGCTGGTGGAGTGGAGTGCCTCTGGGCACTTGTCAGCAGAGCTAAAGAGTTGTAACACTTGCCCAAGCATTGCATGGCCAAGAGAAGGCCAAATGGTGGGCACAGCTGAGAAAGAAGGCCCAGTGGGAGGCATGGCTGGAAGCTGTCCTGACTGAAGAATTTTATCCTGTCTCCTGAGTTGTAGCCTGTTACTTCCAAGTTGATCCTTATCCCAAGTTGTAGCCTGTTACTTCCCTAATAAACCACATAACCGTGAGTATGGTCTGTGAGTTCTGGGTGGCCACTGCAATGAATTATCAAACCCAGCAGAGAGGTAGACAGTGCTATGCGAGGGAGAGGGGGGATGCCTGGTGTCAGAAATGGTGAAAAAGTTGAAAAGTGGAGGTATGTCTGACCTACACCTCATAGGAATCAGCTTTATGTTATCTTGATTCTTATCCCCCCTCCTGAATGTAGATGAGCTCTGATGCTAGCAGATTGCAGTGACCCATAGAGAGAACAATTATTTGAATAGCATTTTACAAAGAAAATTAAAAGCACTATATGCAGATCACAGGACCTTCTGCACCTGCTGATGTGGGGCTTTATAAATGCTTTAGGTGGTTGTGAATGTGTATATTTTGGGCCATTCCTATCGTCACGGATTGAACTTCGTCCTCCAAAAATGTGTGTCAACTCGGCTAGGCCGTGATTCTCAGTATTGTGTGACTGTCCACCATTTTGTCATCTGATGTGATTTTCCTATACGTTGTAAATCCTACCTCTATAATGTTAATGAGGCAGGACTCTATAAGATTAGGTTGTGTCTTAAGTCAATCTCTTTTGAGATATAAAAGAGAGAAGCAAGCGGAGAGACACAGGGACCTCATAACACCAAGAAAGTAGTGCCAGGAGCAGAGTGCATCCTTCAGACCTGAGGTCTCTGCACTGCGAGGTCCATAGACCAGGGGAAGATCGATGACAAGTACCTTCCTCTAGAGCTGACAGAGACAGAAAACCTTCCCCTGGAGCTGGAGCCCTGAATTTGGACTTTTAGCCTACTAGACTGTGAGAGAATAAATTTCTGTTTGTTAAAGCCATCCACTTGTGGTATTTCTGTTATAGCAGCACTAGGTAACTAAGACACCTGTACCTTCTTCCCCAATTCCAACCAGATTAACATCCATTTCAACTCCTCCCTCCTCTCTCCCCCAAAAGCAAACACAATTCTCTATACACAGTTGGCACTGAATAAATACTGACCAACCAAGTCAAGCAGGAGTTGCCAAGACCCAAGGGGGTTTCATCAAACTAGTGTGTCATCTTATTCTGTGCATTGCACCACAGTGAACTCTTTGGGGCCTTTTTGGTGTTTGGCATTTCCTGGTCAAAAATCATTTAGTGTGCAAAATGGAGCCCTGGTTGTGCAATGCTTAAGTACTCAGCTGCTAATCAAAGGTTGGCGGTTCGAATTCACCCGGAGGCTTTGTGGGAGAAAGACCTGGTGATGTGCTTCCTTAAAGATTACAGTCTAGAAAACCCTATAGGGCAGTTTTACTCTGTCACATGAGGTTGCTATGAGTCAGAATCGACTCAATGGCACCCCATAACAATTTTGCAAAAGGGAATTTTTCTGTTCTTGTAGTACCTGTCCCCGAATAAGAAATAAAAGCAAATGAGGTATCTTACATAGCCAGATAACTTGTACTTTATGCAGTGTTTGTGATATGCGGGGCAATGGAAAGAAGATAGAAAGAATTATGTATTATGTTTCTGGAAAAGGCAGAATAGCCTTCCCATACCCACACCACAGAGTTCAAATTATTACGGTCATATTTCATTGTCAGAAAATAAAACTCATTTGTTTCTAGATTCTACTCCCAGGATACTAACCAAATTCCCACACGACAGGTATCTTGTATGGGCTAGCACAAAACTATGGCTGACTGGTATTAGTTACTCTAGATTCTAGATTCTAGAGTTGCCTTAGTTGCTATTCACCCAACTTGAAAGATTTATCAAGGTTCTCCTTGTTTACAGAAGAGGGAGAGGGGAATGAGTGACCCTCTGGGGCTAAGGTGAGACTGCTCTGCAAAACCTTCCTCAGAGACCTTGTAGTTAAAGTTGAAACCTCTTCAATGCTCCAACAGTCCTGTGTACATGCCTCTAACTATAGCAAGATTACCTTAGTGATAGAAACCATTCTCTAGTCATCTTTGTAATCCCCACAACTGATACAAAGTAAGCTACAATAAAAATCTGTTAAATGAGTTTCCTGCATGGTAATTTTCCTAAGATTCTATGTTCTCCTTTTCTCCCATCACACTTAGGCCCTTTGAATCCCTATCACACATTAACTACCCCACCCAAATTTCTTACCTCCCAGTACTTGGTTCGGTTGATGCCCTCTGCATATGCTCGGGCAAAGTTACTTTCACTGTTGAGGGCTGTAATGGATGCACTGAGCTGAGACATGGGATGTAGATTGTTCGGGAAGTTGTCCAGCATGGTGACCACATGGGAAGGCAAAGCTGCCCTCTTTGCCCACTCTTTTGAGAGCCAAGATACCTGTGGAGACAGAAACACAGCTCAGAATACTAGCAAGGAAAAGGACGGAGAGAAAAGGACAGTGATAGCTGAGCAAAGAAAACCAAGAGTTCAACCCAATCCATTTACATGGCAGATTGTGCTCTGATTCTTTCCCCTCACTGCATATCTCTATAACTACCACCCATAGCTAGATCAGAATTAAGTGTCTGAGATTAGAGAAAGGCAAAGAAGGGGAATGGGAAGGGCTGATGTCCCTTTGCTTTACCTGTTCCTCCGTTGGGATTTGTCCAGTGACCAGCAGCCAAAATAACCCCTCAGGCAGGGGTTCTTCCCCACCCTTAGCCTTGGGGAGCAGTTTCTGGCATTCAGGGATACTATAGCCTCGGAAACGGATGCCCTTGAGGGAGAAGAGTGAGAATTACAACTTCCTAAATTTACTGTCCTGGAAGTCACATGACTAACTGACCCTACTTAAAGCAGACCTTTCAACAAGTTAGAAAGAACTTGTAAAGCTTAAATCGTCATATAATTTACTTCTATTTTTGTACTTTTATATTAAAATGGTAACTTTCTTTCAGTTATTTCATTCATACCTATTCTCCACCTTGCAAATATGAAGGTAGATGCTTTGCTTTGTTCTCCTTCCTCTCACTGGCCTAATCCATGCTGTGTGCAGTAGTAAGCATAATGATTACAGTTACTGACATGAACGTGTCTTACCTCATCAGGATCAAGAACTGATGTTTCATATATCAATCCCTTCATGCCTCTCATGCCACCATACATCTAAAAAAAAGAAGAGGATGTGACCAACAGTCAAAATTACTCAGACTAGAGTTTGTCAAAGCTTCACAGGATCTGGGAGAGGAGAGAGGAAATTTATTCTGACTTGCAAGACTTCATTTGGAGGAAGAAGATCTCCGAGGAGTTAAATGACTACAAAACAGAACTTTGGCAATGAAAATATTAAATTAAGAAGTCGCTTTTTCTTTAATGTTTCTGCCACTGTTTGCTTCCTTTTCTTATGGTTTTTTTTTTTTTTTCCCTGCTGTTTACGCTTACCCTCCACTCTCAGTCCGAAGTAAAGAGAATGGGATTTATTACAGGGGAAGGAAACGGAGACCAATGGCTAAACACTGCTGTGGAACTACCATCCAAGCAGCTCAGAGTCTTAGAGCTAGGGAAAAATTATGTTCTGAAGAGCTTTGGTGGTGCAGTGGTTATGCACTTGGCTGCTAACTGAAAGGCTGGCAGTTTGAACTCATCAGCCACTCCACGGGAGAAAGATGTGGCAGTTTGCTTCCATAAAGATTACAGCCTAGAAAACCCTATGGGCCAGTTCTACTATGTTCTATAGCATTGCTATGGGACAGAATTGATTCAATGGCAATGGGCTTTTTTGTTGTTGTTGTTGTTTTTAAATATGTTCTAGAGGGCCTGCTGTGGTTTAACTGGATTGTGGATACAGCATCAACTCAAAGACAGAGTCCTGGCCCCAAAAGCTGAGGGGTTGGGAACAGGAATAGAAACTTCACTCATCCCTCCCCTGGGTGAAGTAGGTTAGGTTCAGCTGCTAAATTTGTAGGGAAAAAAGTCTAATCTCTAATGAACACCATAACCTCAACATTTCCTTGAATGAGACAGAGCACTTTTGAACAGCTTGTGAAAAAGATGTTATTTTTGTTGAGGCATGTTAGAACTACTTCTCCCAACTGAGACCGACCCCAGAGCCCTTACCATGTCCACAGTGATTTGGCCCACCACTGTCTTGCCATGTTGCTGCCTGAAGGTCTTAATTTTGGCCTGCTCCTTAGGTATCAGGTCAGCCAATATGTCTTTCAAATTCTAAAAAGAGAAGTAGAAGGACTAAGTGAGGGTCAGAAAGCTGATTAGATTATCTGCAAAGTGAAAGTGTTAAAATTTTCCTTCTTAGAATGTGACTTTATCTGTCACAGAATTCTAGTCAACTACTCTGTATAGATAAGGGTTAAAGAATTAAGCAAAAACATTTGATATTCCCACCTCATTATGCCACTGAGTAAATTATTTCTTAAAATAGTAGTAACAGCAATAATAATAGTTTAGCAACAACAATAAAAATGGATACCTCCAGGAGATACTTGGATGCTCACCTAAGACCTTTCCACATTGAGTAAATGGGTAGTGGTGGGGCAGGGCAGTCTGTTTGGTTTTACTGCCAGGTATAATAGTTAAGATTGTGTGTCAGCTTGGCTGGGCCATGATTCTCAGTGTTTATATGTGATCACCTCCATGATGGGATCTGCTATGAGTAGCTAATCAGTTGAAACGGAGTTTCCTTGGGCATGTGGCCTGCGTCCGAATATAAGTGGTCATTCTGGCTTTTGCCTGCTTGGGATCCTGCAGCTGCCTCCTGTTCGTCTGACCTCTGGTTCTTGGGACTTGAGCTAGCAGCTTATCTGCAGATCTTGGGATTCGTTGATCTTCACAGCCTGTGAGCAAGATCCCTGCTCTCCGACCTGCCAATATTGAGTTCACCAGCTCCTGCAGCTATGTGAATCAGAAGCCTCTATCCTGATCCACAGACTTGGGACATTCCAGCCTCTACAATCACGTGAGCCATTTCCTTTCTATATATGTTTTACTGGTTTTGCTTCTCTAGTGAACTCAGCCTAAGACACCAGGATAATGACAAGAGGCCAGGTGGTAGCCTAATCCCTCATCTTAGGGTCAGGCTGCCCCAATGATTCTTAGTCCTCTTTTTCAAACCTTACCGTGGAGGAAACACTGGCATGCCGGGCAGCAAGAACAAGACAGGATGCATGCTGCAAAGAAAACACAAAAGCATTATGGAACAGCTTCTCCTCCCTACTGTGTATTAACAGGAAGGCACTTCAGTGACTCAACTTCTTGTCTCTTCATCTTAGCCTCTTAGGATAGTTTGACATAGAAAACTCTAAAAGGCCTTGAACAGCTTGGGAGAAGTCACCAGCCAGGAAGCAGCAACAGGTTTAACTCAGCTTCTAACATCCATAGCTTCCTTAGCATTCCCTGAAGAGAGACTCTTTCCCATTATCTTGGTTAGGCACAGACAGCCAATTGTTAGAGTACTCAAATTTAGCTGTCAATATTCTGAGTGGCGTCAAGGAAAGCAAATGAGGAAACTGGGCAATTAGTACTTAACTCTGCTGATAAGATCCCTCCTGTACCTAGGCTTTTGGCAGCACTTCAACCTCTCCAGTCTAGGAGAGCCCACAGGCAGAGGGCAGCCTTTCACAATATTACTCCTAACGCTCTTGGAAAAAGCAGAGAAGGTATAGCAATAGCAACAAAAGAAACTAAAGCACTGGAAAAGAGAATGACATGACACTTAAAGAGGATGAAATAAAGACATTTCAGATAAACAAAAACTGAGAGTATAACAACTACACACCTGTATTAATTTAAAATTTTAAAGATATTCTTTTAGGAAGTAAAGGATCCCTGGGTGGCGCAAATGGTTTGTGCTCCACTTCTAACCTAAAGGTTGGCAGTTCGAACACATTCAGTGGCTCCGTGGAAGAAAGGCCTGGTGGTCTGCTTTCTTAAAGATTATAGCCAAGAAAACCATATGGAGTAGTTCTACTCTGTAATACATGGGGTCACCATGAGTCTGAAATGACTGGATGGCAATGGGTTTGAGTTTTTTTTTTTTTTTTTAAGGAAGAAAATTATCCAGAAAGATAGCTCTGAGACTCAAGAAGGCTATTCCTTACTACAGAAATAAATAGTGTAGCTAGTCAACCCTATGTTTAGAGAAAGGTTTTTTTTAGAAGACTACTTTCTATGAAGAGATTGCTGAGTTGCCAAAGAAAGTTCAACTTTGAAATAAGACCAATTATACTAACTGTAAGGCCTTACACAAGTAGATTAACTTTTCTGCATAAGAATTTTTTGAAGTTCAAATGAGATAGTTACAGTTAAGTCTGCATGCTAATATACCACACGCTTCACAAGGTTGTCCTGTAATAAATTACAGTGGACGTGAATGCATTTTGCAAACTAAATTCCAAATATATGCCCTAGAGTGAGAGTTTCCTGGGACCTGAGGCTTTTTAGAATTTAGCATCTTCTGTTGGGGCAGGGACGGGGAGCATGGTGTGAGGGTGAGTTGCAAAGGGAAGAGACCCTTCAGAAAAGGTGATTTGTTTAAATATTTTATTGTGTTTTAGGTGAAAGTTTACACAGCACATTAGATTCTCATTTAACAATTTTTATGCAAATTGCTCTGTGACATTGGTTATGATTTCTGCAATGTGTCAGTATTTTCATTATTTCCATTCTGTTTGTTCTGTTTCCATTGATCTAGCTTCCCTTCCCTTCCTTGCCTTCTTATCTTTGCTTTTGGGTAAATGTTGACCTTTTGGTCTCATATAGTTGACTGTTTAAGGGAGCACATTGCTCATGGGTGATAATGTTTATTTCATAAGTTAATCTACTATTTGGCTGAAAGGTCACCTCCAGAAATAGCTTCAATTCCAAGTTCAAAGAGTATCTTAGGGTGATAGTCTTGGGGGTTTCTCTAATCTCTACTGATCCAGTAGGTCTGGCCTTTTTTAGGAATTTTAATTTTGTTCAACATTTTTCTCCCATTCTATCTGGGACGTTCTATTATGTCCCTGATTAGAACAGTTGGTAGTGGTAGCTGGGCAGCATCTAGTTCTTCTGGTCTCAGGTTAGAAGAGGCCGTGGTTCATGTGGGCTGTTAATCCTATAGACTAGTTTTCTTCGAGTCTTTGGTTTCCTTCATTCTCTTTTGCTCCAGACAAGTAGAGACCAATAGTTGTATCTCAGATGGCTGCTTGCAAGCTTTTAAGACCTCAGATGCTACTCACCTAACTAGGGTGTAGGACATTAACTTTATGAACTATGTTATGCCAACTGACTACTAAATTGTCCCACAAGACTATGGTCTTAAGCCTTTAACCCGGTAAACCAATCCTATAAGTTGTTTGGATATGTCTAGGAAGTCTCCGTAACTGTGCCCCCATGTGTTTTATTATATATATCTATGGATATATGTGCAGCACACACCAATCTGTATATACACATGCCTACAGATACACCTATACATGCACGTGCATTCACTTGCATATGCCTTCCTGTACACATATATGCATACATATCTACCTATATAACCACACACATATTTGTTTATTACTGCTGCTGCAAAATTGTGTATGTTACAGCATTTACTGAAGCTGTCCCTTTTTCTTGTTTACTTCTTAGTGTCTTCATTTACCTTGGTCAAGTTGTGCAGGCTTCACCCATGCTGTATTTGGTACTGCCTTTCCCATCACCAAAATAGTAAGTGTCTACTATCTAGAAAGTAATTCCCCCTCCCTCCTCCTACCATTCCTGGTAACCATCAAGGAACACTGCTTTCTGTGCGTATACCTGTTCTTAACTTTTTATAATAGTGGGACCATACAGTATTTGTCCTTTTGTGATTGACTTATTTCACTCAGCAATATGTCCTCCAGATTCATCTAAAAAAGGTTATTTTTAAAAGAATCAATCCAAAGCCAAATTCAGAGAGCACTAGGGAAGCTAAAATGTCCCAAAGCAAAGGGGGAACACCTCAACTTGTTGTTAACCAGGGCTGTCCTTAACTCCTTCCTAGAGTCTCTTCTAGCTCACCGAGGACCATCTGGGCAAGAAGTAGGCAGCACAAACAGCCTTTTAGCTCCTTCACCCTCCAGTGGGGCAAATGGAAAGCTGAACTCAGCATTCTAGAAATAACTTTGCCTTTTCTTATTAGTCACCAAAAAGGGAAAACGTGAATGAATTCAAATTATTGTTCTACAGACCTAATCTTGTTCAAGCCATTCCATGCTCCAAGGTCCTATAGATCCATCTCCCAGAGACCACATCAGCCTTGCAGATCTTTTAACTGTGGGAGTTGGTTATTGTAGCAGGTTTGTTTTGTTTTTAGAGGCTACGGGACACAGATCATTTGAAATAAGTTGAAATTTCTCCATAATGATTATTTTTCACTTCTAAACCATCTTTGGAAACCCTGGTGGCATAGTGGTTAAGAGCTATGGCTACTAAACAAAAGGCTGGCAGTTTGAATCCACCAGACGCTTCTTGGAAACCCTGTGGGGCAGTTCTGCTCTGTCCTATAGGGTCGCTATGAGTCCGAATCAACTCGACAGAAACAGGTTTGGTTTTTTTGGTTTTAAACCATCTTAATTTCTACAATGGCTTGCAGCTTCACTGGTGAGAAAAGATTGTAAGAAGAATATTTTAAGGTTAAATCTTAGGCAAAAAAAAAAAGAAAATCTATCCAAGCTCAACAGACAGAATAACCACCCAAATCTTAAGATGAAAATGGAAATTCCCTCATGTTGGAGGTCTTTCTTCAACCGGTATGACCATAAGACAAAGTTTTCCCCCCTGAGAGAGAACTACCAGAACAATGGGCTGCCTTCTCCTTTTTCTTCATTTAGCACTTAAAGGGGGTGGGGG